GCTGCACTCCTAGGATCAAACAGCACTTTGTCAATATTTTCATGACCTACAATTTGCTACCCTTGACTTGATATCATTAATGTACAATTTGACGATGTTGAGTTCTGTCTCCCTTTCTTTTTTGAAGAAAGTTTGAAGGGTTTGTCTTTCCACACAAGCTTGTATTTCCGAAGACTTTCATCTTCTTAGTCATGTCAGTGGCCTGAATGGAGTCACTCTCATTTTCGCGGTGCTCAGCTGTTCCATTCTATTCTGTAACTTAATGCAGTTCATTTTGTAATAAACTAGTGGGGAAACCTAATTACCAGCTGCGGTGGGACGCAGGTACAAGCTCTTTGAGTCCATTACTACTGTATGGTCACCGTTTTCCTTTTATCTCTTTCTTAAATACATGCTGGTTGGACTTTTGTACCACATATGATTGTTATACTGTGTACCCAATCCTTTAAAGTGGGTAGAAATGCTGTGAATGATCGAGTCCCTTAATTCTGAGTTGTAGGTCTGAGTTCCTGTGATTTACGCTACAGACCACATCACTTTATACTTTATTGCTGTGACAGTTTTTCTTTGATGTGGCAATTAGTATTTTCTTTCATCCTGCTTTAGGGTTATGACTTATATTTGTCTACTGTGCTTTCAAGTTTGCTTTTCTTTTCATGATTTATGGTGTGTAGCAAGTGTCTCCTGGTTTTAGGAACTGTTGTCTGATTTACCTGTAAATGAAGGTAAATGGCCCTCTGATCTTCAGCCTTAGACACTTTGGAAAACATTTTATTGAATGGATTTCATGCTTCTCTTTTGTCCTACTGCATCAGCCTCAATCTCTTTGGGCATGTCAGTAAGATTCCTGTTGTCATTGCTGCAGGGTCCTTGAGTTTAAGTAAGTGCAAGTAATGATCAAGAATTGAGAATTTATTGCCCTTGGGGAGAACATTCTTGACAGGTTACATTACAAGAACGAACTCGCAAGACCACAATAACTGAGAAACAGGACTTTAGGATGTGCTGTATGCTCAATACTGTACACCAGTTCACTCAGAGCCCAGCTGATTTCCCCAGCACCAAGCTACCATTTAATAGCCTATAAACTCAGAATATTACACATGGGATACAAAAAACACTTGACCGCTTGTGTGTTTATCAGCTACAACAAAGATGGCAGCTTTAAAGTTGTTTAAAGGTTCATGAGCCAACAGCAAATAAGCTGTGATTAAAAGCCTGGATTTCTGATAAATTATTGCAACCCCATTTCCAAAAAAGTTGGGACGCTGTGCAAAATGTAAATAAAAAAATGCAATGATGTGCAAATCATTTAAACCCTATATTTAATTTAAAATAGTACAAAGACAACATATCAATTTTAGACATTGTACAAAGACAACATATCATTTTGAATTTGATGCCAAAAACACGTTTCAAAAAATTTGGGATGGGGGCAACAAAAGGCTGGTAAAGTTGCATAATGCTTAAGAAAACACCTGGTGGTAGTGACGAATGTTTTGAATAAATAATCTTTATCTTTGATAGTTCTAACAAGTAGCGTTTATTAACCAAAAGAATAAGTAATCTTCACACTGTAAGATAGGCCTTAGTTTGCATGAGGACTTGGACACATACTTGTGTATGTTTGGAAATAAGGGTTCCCAAGTGAAAGTGTTAGAGTTCCCAAGGAAATGTAAGGATTGGAAATGATGGGAACTAAGATGGTATGGAATTTTATAGAAAAAGGGGGGCAATTACTTCATCACCCCAAACAGGAAATAAAAATGGGTGTTTTGCAAATGATCTTTGCATTGTGGTTGCCCGGGAACCACCTTGCCATTCAAGCTCAATGAAGAAGAAGGCCTTTTCCTTCCTTCCACAAGAACTCAGCGACTGAAGTCATTTATTTTACTTTGCTCTTTTATACTTAGATTTTTATTATTTTGAAGTTATGCTGAGGTTAGCTCTTAAGGTAACAGTATTAGAACACGCTAGAAGAATCCATCTCTGTCCACAGGCCTTGAGCACAGAAGAGAGGCTTTTGGGCCTGACAGTAGATTGGCAACAGGTCAGTAACATGATTGGGTATAAAAGAGCATCTCAGAGAGGCGGAGTCTTTCAGAAGTAAAGATGAGGAGGGGTTCACCACTCTGTGAAAGACTGCACCATCAAATAGTGCAACAATTCAAGAATAACGTTTCTCAACATAAAATAGCAAAGAACTTTTGCTTTTCATCATCTACGGTACATAATATCATTAAAAGATTCAGAGAATCTGGAGAAATCTCTGTATGTAAGGGTCAAGACCAAAAAACAGTATTTGCTGGCCGTGATCTTTGGGCCCTCAGACAGCACTGCATTAAAAACAGACATGATTCTGTAGTGGAAATCACTGCATGGGCTCAAAAACACTTCTGAAAAACACAGTTCATCACTGCATCCACAAATGCAAGTTGAAACTCTAAAACGCAAAGAAAAAAACATATATAAACAGGATCTAGAAACACTGCCACCTTCTCTGGGCCTGAGCTCATTTAAAATGGACTGAGGGGGAGTGGAGAAGTGTCCTGTGGTCCGAGGAATCAACATTTGAAATTCTTTTTGGAAATCATGGACACTGTGTCCTCCGGGCTAAAGACCACTCAGCTTGTTATCAGCACACAGTTCAAAAGCCAGTATTCATGATGGTATAGGGGTCCATCCAGACAGCGTCTTTTTCAAGGAAGGACTTGTTTATTACAGCAAGACAATGTTAAACCACATTCTGCATGTATTACAACAGCATTGCTCCGTATTAAGAGTCTGGGTGATAAACTGACCTGGCTGCAGTCCAGACTTGTCACCACTGATAACATTTGGTGCATTATGAAATAAAAAATAAGACAAAGAAGACCCTGAACTGTTGAGCAGTTGAAATCCTATGTTAAGCTAAAATGGGAAAATATATCACTTTCAAAACTACAGTAATTGGTCTCCTCAGTTCTCAAACACTTACAGAGTGTTGTTAAAAGAAGAGGTGATGAAACACAGTGGTAGACGTGGCCCTGTCCCAACTGTTTTGAGATGCGTTACTGCCATCAAGTTCTAAATGAGTTAATGTTTTTAATGAAATGGTAAAATGTCTCCCTTTACATCTGATATGTATTCTATGTTTTATTGTGAATAAAATATGGGTCTATGAGATTTGCAAAACATTGCAATCTGTTTTAATTTACATTTATTTACATTTTACACAGCGTCCCAACTTTTTTGGAATTATAATTGTATGACTGCAAGATATGGGACAGTCTGAGTAAAAGTAGGAGAAATGGAGAGTGAAATGTGCTGCAGCCGTCACTGCTGAGCTGAGGAGCTGATCCAGAGGAGGAGAGCCAGGCTGAGGAGGGAGATGAAGGAGAGACCACCCGCTATAGTGCCGCTCACCTTCGGCTGTGGATCTGTGCTGTGACAGATACAAACTAATGAGTAAGTACAGTCATTTAAGTCCTTCCTTTAAAGGTGTTTAAAATATCATTGATGGAGAAACAGACTGATATTACAAAGAGGAAACACACTACAAAAATGATTATATAAATACATTAGCATATTTTATTTTTTAGAATAAGCTCCTCCTAGCATTTCTCTAAAGTCTCCAAAAAACCCTTGAAGTGCCCATCCTCTCTCAGACACCAGCATAACACAATCATTCAAGTTCATCATCAGTTTGTCGACCTCCCTCGATAAAATATTACAGACTGAATAGTGAAATGATTTCACTGTGCTGGACAGTGTGAAGTGTAGTAAACTGTAACGGCACAAAATTGGGTAACACTTTATTTGGATGGTCCACTATAGATTCTTTACAAACGTTCAGTATATCTTTAAGTGACATTCAACTAAATAGTCGTTAAATTCAACTGAACTTCAAGTTCAGTGTGAAACAGTTTATTAAATCTATCCCTAACCCTAACGTCAAGGTAAAACCTACATCTGCTCTTAACCCTAACCATAATGTTGCTGATAATCAGGTGAACGTCACCAGAAAGTTTGTTAATGATTTAAGTATCTGTAGGTCATCTATAGTGAACCGTCCAAATAAAGTGTGACCCAAATATGGCGTTTCCTGCCTTAGCTGAGGCTACCACAGCTGGGTGTTAACGTTACTGTTAATCTTAACGTAGCCTTGTGTTGACAAAATGTCAACACAAACTTTCAAATTAGGCATTATTTGTACTGATTGAGCAAAGATTTCACAACCTAAGTGTCAGTGACTCCCCTCTTTTTTTCTAAAGCAGGGTTAGGTGCACCGCACACTTAAAGAAGAGAACTTATAAACAATAAGTTCACAACTGGGAGTGAATGATGGGACTTTCCGGTCATTCTCACTGGCGAGTCAGCAAATCATGCATCCTTGATATTCAGGGCAGATCAACAACACATGCAGGAACCGAATGCTGAAACACAACTTGGGCAGTGGAAGACGAGGACACAAGAACACACAAGAATGCACTTTGAAAAACAGCCATGGAGAGCGACTGCAGCTCTTGTGAACTTTCCTCTTGCTGTGCAGCCAGTAACAATGTTTTATTAGAACCTTTATTAAGAGAAACCTGGCCAAGAGGGCAGCATAAACATCATGACTGCACATAAAACACAAAAGCAAGACACAGTAAAACACAATAAAACTGCTAATAAGTAACAATGTTAGCAGTGTTAGGAATGATTTTTATTTTAACTTTAATGTCTATTACTCACATCTTTCGAGTCTAAAGACTAAACTTACTAAAGGAAAAGAACTTATAAACGTACAGCATGGGTCAGGATCCTCTGCTGCAGTGAATGATGGGATTTTAAAGTCATTCTCGCTAACATGTCTGCATAAATTCACCTCAATAGGTTATAAATTGTAATAAAATTGAACTGCTATTCTATTACACATTACTAAATTCGGCATTGAAAAGTATTCTTTTATCTCCTCCTGTAAAACTTTCACTGTGTGAAAATACCAACAACTGTGTCAGGACATGACAGGCTCCGCCCTCAGCAGGGTTTATAACTGTGTGCAGGTCACTGAACAGTCACCACAGAAGGTGGACCACAGATTACAGCAGATCCAGGAAGGTGAGTCTACAGCAGTTACTCCATCACTCATTTCTTTATAATAATTTATAGTTTTTATTTTCCCTGCTGCTTTGGTTAAATGATTTTTATAGAGTTCTCACAGAGTAAAAACAGTTGTGTGCAAAAGTTTGGGTGCCTCTGGTCAAATACCATGTTGTTATTGATTTTGTAAATAAATTAAACGTCCTCTACAGAGAACACACTTCTGCACACTTTAATGCACATTTACTCTTGAATTTAGCACATTGGGGAAAAATTGTGCAAAAGATATTGCATGTTTTATTTTATTCCAATGGACTAAACTCAGCAAACAACTCAGCAAACAGATTTTGTACTAATATTTTCAGAAAAACACCATATTTCAGTGTGTTCTCTGTGGAGGATGTGTTCACTCATTATCACTTCAACATTACATGTAACTTGACTCATATACAAACTTTTCTGTACAACTGTACATAATAATTATTGGTGCCTAATGTAAGACACCAATGACTATGTCCTTCAGTTTTATTCTACAGCAATGTATCATAGTTTAAAGTAAATAGAGGTTATTTAAACTGTGATGATTTTACTGTGTGTTGTATTTTTTCTCCACTGGAGTTTGTTGTTTTTCTAGTTACTGCAGTGGTTCTTAAAGACACCAACATGAATACTGAAAGTTTGCTTGAAGTTGCAACCCTTGGAAGACAACTTCATTTGGGGATGTTGTACGACTGCCACAACGACTCCTTCATTCCAGGTAGGAGTTCACTGCTAGCATCTGCCTTAAACACCTCAAACACCTTACCTTTCTGATGAGTTCTTCTTTCTTTAGGGGTCTACCTGTGGGACATGGACAACATACAGAAGAACACGATAGTGAGGCAGAGCCCAAAAACATCTTTCAACATTCATCTCACTGACTCTCTGGAAGAAAAATCAAAAATATTACAAATAAGTGCGTCTCTTAGTGCCAGTTTTCTCGCAGGGTTAGTAACGGTGGAGGCTTCAGCCAGTTATTTGAACAACAGATCGTCTTCTTTGCACGAGTGCAGAGTGACTGCCCAGTACAGTGTGAAGACCAAGACTGAGCACCTTAACATGAACCAAATGGGAGGCATCACCTACAAAGACATTGAAGACCCAGATTTTAGTGCCACTCATGTCGTTATTCAGGTAGAATACGGTGCAGAAGCGCTGATGGTGTTCAGTGAAACAGCATCAGATGAGCAAAAAAAACAAGACATTCAAGTGAGCATGAAACTCATGGTGAAGAATATTGGCTTGTTTGGTATCAGTGCTGAGGGAAAGGTTCAAATGACTGATGAAGAGAGGAAGAAGGTGCAGAACTTCACCTGCACCTTCCATGGTGATTTTGCATTGGAGGAGAACCCAACCAACTTTGAAGAGGCAGTAAAAGTCTACAAAAGTCTCCCCAAACTGCTCGGGCCAAATAAGGAGAATGTGGTGCCCAAGAAAGTCTGGCTCGTCCCACTAACAGAACTTGTGCCTTCGGCTCCAGAGATCAAGCACGAGGTCAGCAAAATGAACTGCATTAAGTTACGGAATATAATGGAGCAGCTGAACACTGCGAAAATGAGAGCAAATGACATGTCTAAAGAGAGTGACTCCATTCGGGCCACTGACATCACTAAGAAGATGAAAGATTTTGGAGAAAACCTTCAGAAATACATGCTTGTGTGGAAAGACAACCTCTTCAAACTCCTCCCTGAAATCAGGAAGGGAGTAGAGAAGGAAGAAAGGCTGGAGAAGATGTTCAGTCTTCATGCAGAATCATCCTTTGGGCCCAGCAAAATTGACCCCTGGCTGAAAGAAAGAGAGACTGAACTCAGCATCGTCAAATCGTACATTAATGATATTAAGTCACGGCAGCCAGATGTTCAGATCGTAGCTCGTGAAGACTTCGACAAAGTGCTGTTTGATCCTACTAAAACATGGGTAGAGGTGTTTGGGTTCAACTCTCTTGGAGAAGATGACCCTTACCTGGACTCCCTCAGGTTTTGCCTGGACTCGGAGAAGTTCACTACATTGGAATGTTTACCCTCTGATCTGAAAACGTTGGTCAAAGACAAAACTCCTTGGTACAGATCTCCTGAAGTCTCACAGACCATGAGAGATTCTCTTGATAAGTTTTCTGCATTTGCCATGTGTTTGTCGTTATCTCACATCGTCAGCTACTTCCACTATCCTTATCATGCAGGTGCTTCTGTGAGAGGATATTCAAAAGGGAAATTGCTCTACGTAAACATCCTAAACACATCAGAGCCAGAGGTGGTAGACATCAGTGCAAACACTATAACTATGAGACATTTAGGAGATCCTTTTTCTGCAAAAGTTTCATACAAGAAAGTGGGTGATGGAGAAGAGGCACAGAAGCAGGTGACCTGGCCAGTTAACCAAGAAATCCTGGTGATCTCTGGCCTGCTGCCCAACACCGAGTATGAACTTGAGGTTTTTAGTGTCTTGATGTTTCTACAGCTCCAAGTTCTGAAGGTACACAAAATTTATTTGTTTGCAATTTCCATCACACTATTAACACTAGTCAGTACTGTCAGTAGTGAAAAAGTGAGCATTCACACCTGTAACTTCGTGACTAATTCTGTGCTTTGCATTACAGCCATTCACATTTGTGACCAAACCAAACCGAACCATCGGCTCCCCAAGACAAAGAGACACAACAGCTCCTTATTGAAGATGTAAAGATTCTTGTTTTACGCCACCTGCTGTTCCCTTTAAAATGAAGGATGTCAAATTTGTTTTCACTGCTACACTAAATCTGCACAGTATATAGAGGTTAAAGACTAATCTAATGAACCAAATACAGACATGCAGTTTCAGGTATACAGTGACGTCTCTGCTGTGTTGAAAGAGAACTGAGTCCTGTCTGTCTAAGATTCACTGTGTTATACATCTGTTCTTCTTCGTTATGTGTGTCTATTGATTAACTGAGATTATCTTGTACTGTATCCACACCTACTGATTAGCTGAGATTAGTTTATACTGTATACACACATCTATTGATTAGCTTAGATTAGTTTATACTGTACACCCATATGTATTGATTAGCTGAGATTAGTTTATACTGTATACACGCATCTACTGATTAGCTTAGATTGGCTTATACTGTATACACATCTATTGATTATCTGAGATTAGCTTGTACTGTATGCGCATATGTATTGATTAGCTGATGTTAGCTTTTACTGTATACACATCAACATTTAATCATTGACTTTTTCTGCATGATGATCATTTTCTTCAGCATCATAAAACTTGTTTTTGTCCAAATAAATCTGGCAAAGACATTGCTGACTGTGCCGTGACTTTGTTTCTGCACCGATTCAACCCACATCTTACACACTCATGTACACTGACTGCTGATGCTTTTTAGAATGTAGATTTTGCATCAAATTTTGTGTCAAAAAACCCTTCATTTATTTGCATTAAGGTGTCTTGACATCACATATACAATTGCTGCTAACTGACCTTTACAGTTGCAATCAAAATTATTCAACCCCCATAGCAAATTAAGTTTATTAGCAAAATGTACAAACTTTCAGTTGTTTGCAATAAGTCAATCAAATAAGGGCAATTTACATAGCTCAATACAACTAAAAACACCAAATACAACACAAAACGCCACTTTTAATGACTACTGACCCTTGTTATTTTAGTTGTGTTGAGCTATTTATATTCTTGTTTGATTGGTTTATTGAAAGGAGCTAAACATTTGTAAATTTTGCTAATAAACCTAATTTGCACTGGGGGTTAAATAATTTTGATTACAACTTTATGTTTTGTTTTGTTTTTTTAATGCGGGACTTTTGATTAAAAAAGCAAGTAACATTTATTCTTCTAATTACTACCGTTAATTAAAATGATGTGATTGCATTTTATTTATTTAACTATTTATTATATTGATCTATAATTCCCCTGCTGAAAAACAACTATCAGATCCAATACGATTAAAACGTGATGGTTTTGCTTTCTAATGTGATTTGACTCAATGATTACCATCAGAGATTACTAGCTTCCTGCAGGACAACTTTAGATCCAATTAGAAAACCCTGAAATGCATGTGGTATCAGAACACCTGTTAAAACAGAGTTAAAGAGTTAAACCAGAGTCTGTGATATTAACCCATCAGGAACACACTAAGTCAATATTTGAGACCATTAGGAACCAGCAGCAACATATAATGATTTCTAGGATTTTTTCAGCAGGGTCTGAGGCCTGTAAAAGTATAACTGATGTGCCAGTTGTCCTCATATAGTTGAGGTCCACAAGTGTGTAGGGAAGAATTTAATACTGGGTGGCAGCAGCTGCATTTCACTCACACACGCCCTCTACAGTTACTCAGGATCATATGCAGAGTCAGAAAAATGTACATTTTCTCTGGAGAGTGTAGAAATAAGAGCAAACACAACTCGTTACATACCTGATAGCATACTTGCTAGCATTACAGCTTGTAGCTGACGTTACATGATAACACGTAATTAAATAAGTGGTAATTCTGTAAAAGGTGACTGACACATAATATTATTCCAGTTTACATTTTAGTCCACTTACTAGTCGTGTACTAGTGCTTCACCGCTTAAAAAGACCACTATGATTAAAACCTGATGGTTTTGCTTAATGGTTTACAGAACTGTGAAAATTAAACATTGTATCAGCTCCACTGACCATATAGGAGCACTTTATTTTTTTATATTTAACTAACTGTTTATTAAAGGATCATAAAAAGATTCACCACTTTGCAGTCCGGCCCTAGAAAGTTGAGTGTGTACATACAGACGTTCACACTGATGTTCACACACTCTTACCAATGATTAACAATAAACTTTAAGTAACTTGGATGAAGGGAAGGGGTTGAGAGTAGTCCACCAACCAAAAACATCCAGCCAACAGCGTCCTGTGGCTACTGATTAAGGACTAGAGGATGACCAGCACAACCTGTGCAGCAGCAGATGAGCCATTGTCTCTGTCTCTACAACTACAAGGTGGAACAACAACGTAGGAGTGTCTAACAGAGTGGACAGTGAGTGGACACAGCATTTAATAACTCCGGCAGCACTGCTGTGTCTGATCCACTCGCACCAGCACCACTACGTCAGTGTCACTCTCAGGTTACTCTGCTGTAGGGCTGCAACAAACAACTATTTTGGTAGTAGAATAATCTATTGATTATTGAAAGGAATAATCGATTATTCAGATTATGCATTGCTCGATTACCAAATAACTCTTATGTAGCTCTCAGCTTTTAAATTTAGCTTGAGGTTGGTTAATTGCATTTGAGGACAATAAAAACAAATACAAAAATTCACAGTTTTAATGAATTCCTACCGATGCAAAAGACAAATAAAACTCCAGTATCTTTTCCTGACAACACCTAAAACTAAGGATGTGCAAAGTAGCAGCAACAAAATATAAGAAAACTATATCAGTTTTCCTTTAATTAAGGAAATAAAAAAAAATAATCTTAAATTTAAACAGTGCAGTCATGTTGCAGAGATGCTCAGAAAAGATATTGCCAGCATTGACAGTGTGGGAAATCACAGCTCATTTTCCCTCCACCTTTCGAGAGGGTCTTTCTTTTTTGGTATTGCTGGCCCTGCAAAGTACATCTGAACTTCGTCTCTCACCATTTGGATCTCTGGGTTCACCCGGGATTCCTCTTCCTCACAAAGACAGTCTGTGTTAGACTGAAGGAGGTATTCAAGTGCTGATTTTTCCCCTCAGCACCTGGACTATTGTACCTCTGCTTTTGCTTTCTAAGTTGTGGATCAAGGGAAGCTGAAAGAACAATTGGGTTGTGTCTCTCAGCTGAAATGACATTTAAACTCCCCACCTATCTTTCATTGATTCTTTTTTCTGCATTGGCCAAAAATGCTTTCCCTGGGCTTGTGTCAAAACGAAGGGTGTGCTGTATAGATCATTGCAGCCCTTTGATCAGCTGTGGAAGGTGGGAAATTGTTGCATATTCCTTCAGGTCTTCAACCAGTACTTACTAATCTGGCTTTAAGTCAAAGTAGTGTTTGCCTGTTAAGAGTTACCTCTGGATCAGACAGAGAGGCAGTAACTGGCCCACGCTGTTCCAGGAGTCTTTCAATCACGTGGTATGTACTGTTCCATCTAGTGGTGACATCTTGGATCAGCTTATGTTGAGGTGTGCTCATTCACTGCTGTTTTATCTTCAGTTTTGTACTGGCCAGCTCACTTCTCCTGAAGTGTCTTGCAGCTCCAACATCTCTATTGATACTAGGCTCACCAACATCTCTATTAATACTAGTGAAACACTTACCTTCAAAAATGTTGTTTCATATTTCTTTCCCGTCAAGTGAGTGAAATGAGTTCTGGATGGAATGGTGTATTCAGGGATGAACTGCCTAATCATTTCTTGAAACCCTTCACCATCAACCATGGACACTGGTCTCATATCCTTAACATGTTTAGGATTGATTCTGTGAGGGCAGTTGCTTGTTGGGATGTGCAAGGCTTTTTTTCTTTAGAGAAAGTTACCCATGGTAGCATTACTGGCACAGCTCCCCTTCAGACTGCATCTGATATGAAGAAACATTTGTGTCAGGCAAAAGAATCATTACTGTTTTAAGTTCAAAGCTAGATTTAGCTAGAAAGTAGCAAATTCTCTGGATGCAAACTTGGGCAGTCAGCAGCAACACTATCTCCAGCCATAAACCTGAGGTGCATTCAAATTCAACAACCAGTGGTGAACGTTTGTGGAAAACATGTTCTCCATGAACCAGGGGTTGAACCACACCTCCGAAAATTGCCTTTCATGTCATCTTAATGACTTGTCTTTATAAACCTATTCAGAGGTGGGTGGTAACTAGTTACATTTACTCAAGTACATGTACTTAACTAAAATATTGATGGATTTTTGCTCTCCTGAATATTTTCACATCATATTACTTCTACTAAAGTGAGTAAAGAAATCTTTTTACTCAATTACATTTTAGCCATTCGTATTTAGTTACTAATTCCATTATTTTTGTTTAATTTCAGTATGTTTGATGGCAGCAATGTTTGTACTGTTTTGTGACTGCTTACATCTGTGACTTTGGAGCTTCTGTATTTTAGACCAAAAAAAATCCCAAAAAGAGAAGAACAGAGCCGCAAAATCTTCAGTTCCTATGCTGATAAATCCTGGATGTAGTAAGAAGTTCCACTGCAGTACTCAGTATTTCAGTAGAGTTTCAATCTGATTCTTTTGTATTTCCAATCTAGTTTTTGGGGGGAAGGTACTTTTACTTCTGTAAATTATTTTATGCAAGCATGAATACTTTTACTTGAGTACTGATTTAAGCACCTCTAACCACCTCTGAACCTGATCATGAACAGTGTCAGTGTTTGTTTTGATGCTGCTTCAGTAGCTGCAGTATTTGTCAGCCAACATCTCTGAAGAACATTTTCATATCCAGTTCATGCTCTAAAGATCGCACCAGGTTGTGATATCTCTTTCCTTTGGTTGGATGGTGGACTGCATAAGCTAAAATTGAGTAAATTACATATGTGGGTGTTCGTTTACTGATTATTAGTTTTGCAGGGATGTAAGCGCTCTGTTACTCTCAAACTTACCGCCATGAAAACTGAAAAACAGAAAATATGGGCGATTTGTGAATACCAATTTAAATTGAATCCATCAGGACGCTGATGCTTGGCCAAAAACATGCTCCAAAATCAAACACATATCACTGTTTTATTGCTTGGCTCTCATTATTTACAGTGTAAGGAAATGAGCTTTTGTAAAAAAGTAAAATGTTAAAATAGCAGATAGCAGTATAGCAACATAGCAGACAGTACAGCAAAAAACATGCTCTGGAAAAAATGTGTTGAATTTCCTTGTGAATTAGTGTGGTTCAGTTGTTTGGTGCTGCCTGAATACGGGTGGAGTTTTTGTGTGTCAAAACCGAACTAAAGAAACAGTTTGACAGGTCTGCACCATCCACTCTCAGGTCTGAGAGTAGTTCCCAGCTGAAATGGAGATTCTGACTGGCTCTGCTGCTGAGGTTTACTGTCTGTTCATGCTGGTCAGTGCTTCATGCAGTTTAGGGAAAGCGGAGGTTTTTATGTGCGTGTCCTGAACTCAGGTGGCCCTGCTATGAACAGTTAAATTTAGGTGATTTTGTGTAAGCATTCCATTTCAATGGTACCAAGTGTTCACA